ACATGGGAAGATCCAAGAGTAAGATATTGGCAGTATTCTCAGTATATACAATCGCAAAATTCAATGGCACTGAGTTCTGCTACAACTATTACTTCCCAAGATATACCTTTGCAGGTCAGTAGATAATTCTTGCGAAATATCCAAACTATGTTTAATATGTTTAATTATCATACAATTAACACATTAAATATATCTATATGTGGAAATATGATGTGGGTGTTTCAAAGTTGCACTCATGCATGTATCAAAGTATTTGTAACTGCACTTCCAATATATATATATGTGTTCTTGTCATATACACATGCTGCATTTGGATAAAATATAACAATTTACATCAAAATAAAAGACTATGGGAAATGGAGGTGGTGGACATTTAGGTTATGCTGGAGCTCACAAAGCTCCACAAATTTATCCAACACTGTCCCCTTATCATAATCCACAACTTGCATTTTTGCCTCCTAGTATACAGGTAGGTACTTATAATTCTAAAATAGTAAAATATTTAGCTTAAATTATACACGTATATGTACGCAAAATCCGGATTCTGTCGAATTACAAGTTGCCAAAATCAATGCCATATTTCCAACAGTTTCTGATACTCACATTCGACTTCTTCTGAAAAAGTAAGTCATGAAATCGAATATACATATGCATACATATATGTACATACTTTTTATATGTTAGTAGGAAATGAAATTTGACTAATTTTTTTCATTGCATTTACTAATATCGATTTACTAATATGAATTCTTTTGGAACCCAAATCATATTGACATACACATTAGTAAGCTTACATGTTTAGTTAAATTTATGCTGACTACATATTAGTTTCTCTATTCAATGAGTTTTGTTAGCACTGTAACAATCATAGTGCTAAGGTGGCAGCTGGTGTCTTTCAGATACCATAACAGAGCAGCTTTGGTTGTCAGCGCTCTACAAGTGGAAAAGAATCCTCTTTGTGCTCCAGGACCATGCACACCCATTGGAGTGCATTCAAACTATGCAATACCGAGATGGCGATTACCAACTCATGCTATACACGCAGCTCTAACATTGAGTCCGCCTCGTGGGGCCCGGCCAGCCCCACATTCCCCAAAAATGAAACTTAGGTTCTTCCCTATACTTACAATTTCAATTTCACCCAATATGGATGCTAGATGTTGATATTGTACTTTGTGATAGCTATGAAGTATATTGGATAGCAAGATAGAACACGTTAGATGTTGATTTATTTTGAATGTCTGATACATTTATGTATATTGATCATAACCAGTGCGATGTAGTAGTAGCATGAATTAGTACACATTGCAGACAATTTACGTAGTCCAGAATTTGTTGATTTTCTCAATTAAACCTATCGTTTTTATTTCATATTGCAAATATACATAGGAAACGAACTCTTTTATCTGCAATGTGTTGAAAAATTTGACAAACTTATTGGATAATAGAGTCGATTAGTGTGTGAATGTAAAATGGTTTCGTGTAGAAAAACAATAATGATACATTATAAGGATTTATATACTGCATAGGAAGTGAATTACTGTTGAATAGTTTCAAANATATGGATGCTAGATGTTGATATTGTACTTTGTGATAGCTATGAAGTATATTGGATAGCAAGATAGAACACGTTAGATGTTGATTTATTTTGAATGTCTGATACATTTATGTATATTGATCATAACCAGTGCGATGTAGTAGTAGCATGAATTAGTACACATTGCAGACAATTTACGTAGTCCAGAATTTGTTGATTTTCTCAATTAAACCTATCGTTTTTATTTCATATTGCAAATATACATAGGAAACGAACTCTTTTATCTGCAATGTGTTGAAAAATTTGACAAACTTATTGGATAATAGAGTCGATTAGTGTGTGAATGTAAAATGGTTTCGTGTAGAAAAACAATAATGATACATTATAAGGATTTATATACTGCATAGGAAGTGAATTACTGTTGAATAGTTTCAAAAAATATTATCAGAAGGCTATTAAATTTTGTTCATTTCATTTTAATAGTTTCTGTTATGTGTTTTTTATTTGCAAGTTTTATTTATTTTCTTATACACAATATTGTCATTTGAAATTTGTATTTGGTTTCAGTTTCTTCCTGGTTTAGTACATCAATACATCACATGTCGGATAGAGTAACATGTACACAGTTCATAGATAGGTTGGTTTCAGACTTATGCCACCAAAGTACTTTTTGTTTTATTTTGAGTGCCATACACAATGTTTACGTCCCTTATTACATCGTTCATAATAAGATATTTCATAATAATAATAAATGAGTTTCTTATGATCAAAATGATTCATACTTAAATTGAAAAAGGTATTATGAATTCAATTATATTATCAGGTGCAAAATTACAAACTAAATTTAAAAAATAGAGATACATTAGCACATGTATATGTGTTATGCATGCAGTAGAAAACTCATTTATTGAACAAAGATGTGATTTAAGCATGGTAACATGTGCATGTTTACTGTAAATAAAATATATATATACATATTTTATTTACAGTTAAAATCATTACTACCGATATGTTTAAATTAATAAGTATATAATTATTAATCACATGTGCATATCATACAGAATATAATAAGTAGCATTTTATGTGAATTTCAGTTATTAATTTTTAACAGTAATATAATTATACTGTTTACTTTGTCCTGATTATTACTCGCATTGTACTTTTTTTACTCATAAGTAAATTATTGGCTGCACAAATTGAATTTTGTATTGTAGACTGTGTTTGTATTTATCATCGGCGTGTCGTTATATAGTTGCAACAAGTTTGATACATTATAGAAATATATCTGCAGGTACCTGAAAAATGTATTTCCGAAAGTAGAAGAAACTATGTTACTTGACATTTTGGAGCAAAGCGATAATAATGTCCAAAAAGCCTCGGAAAAATTGATTGATCTGGGTTATGAAAAGCGAAATCCTACTGCTCCAAAGTCGCAGAGGAGGAAGGAGGAGGAGCAAGTAATATATTAAATTTTGTAATACATTTGCTTATACATTTTCTACATCTCTGTATTTATCAATGTTTTATTTTCATAGGTAAAACATGAACAACACACTGCTCCTACCCCTCCACCACGTATGAAAAGTTTAGAAGAGAAAAATAAAAGTAGGTGCATACAGGGTGTCCACCTTCAAGTGATACAATTCGATTATAATATCTCCACCATCGAAACACTCAATTATCATTCAATTAAATTCTTGTACTTTCTATGGTTACAGCTTAATCGGACTGTACCATTTTAGCGTGCATACTCTGCATATATAATGATGCTTTTCAAAACTACCATTGTACTAAATACTTTGTGGATTCTACTGTTTCAGTGAAAGCGCGTTTAATGGAAAAATATAAATCCGTGCCAGAAAGAGTAATAATGCTTGCTATGGATAGCGTTGATTACGATGAGGAAAGAGCGATACATATATTAGATATTATGGTTACAGAAGAAGCCAGAAGACCTTTGTGTACATCAAGTAGTCAAAGGTAACGTGTATTGAATTCTTTTATGGTGCAGAACTAAAACACTTTACTAAGTACATGTAATGAATATGTAGTAGTAGAAGCGATGACAGGAAAGATAGCCCACCAGTAACTGAAGCTGTTAAATTAACTGCCTCGCCAATTAAAAAGATAGTGAAAGACGCGGATGCAGAAAAATCTAAACGATCTAAAAATAAGATAGAAATACCAAAGTAAGATAAGAGTTTTGTTATATTTTGCTCTTCGTGATTATTTTCTTTTTAACAAAAGTTAATGATATTTTCAGAATCTCTCGAGGAACAAGCACCACAGAAGATAATGAATATAAATCTCCATATTTAGCGAAACCAGTTGGACCAAATCCACATTTACCAAAAGGAGCCAATAATGATTTACTTCTGTAAGTTTACAATTTTCATTGTAATACATTATTTTTTCTTCATTACTGTTATTATTATTTTTTTGTATTTAGAAATGAAATTATTGTTACAAATTTTTTAGACCAGATTATGCACCATGGTCAGGACCAGATTCAAATTTGTTAATTAAAGGAGCTCACAATAAAACACTAGCAAATGGACACGATTCAAGTTTACTTTTTAAAGATTGTTATATTGCTAAAGGGCCTAATCCAGAATTAAGAAAAGGTCCATTGAGGGAATTAGCTCAAGGTTCTATCTATTCCCAGCGAAATGTCGCAAATACCGAAACTCGTTGCAAATGAGATATGTGCAATTGTTTTTTTCTCCATTTTTACGCTTGCTAATTTGGAAGATCGTTTAAATTTTACGTAAGTTATGTTCTCATCGTTAATTTAATATTTTTAATTTTAGTGATTGAACGCTCACTTAATTTTTATATATTTACAGCGAGCTTCCGAAAATAGTTTCTGTATTTAAAGATTATATTTAGACATGACAATTATTGTTAGGTTTTATACTCTATTCGTTATTACTTTATATTGAAGTTATATTAATGTTTATTTATTTTGTTATTGGTTAAAAATTTTATTTTTTCTGTTCATTATAAGATGATAATTTTATTGTACACCAAAGAGAACGAGCGGTGAAAGATATATAAACGAAAGAAGCATGCAAAGAAGTGTTCAAATTTAATTATACATACTTTTAATGATTTAAGAAGAAAGCTATCATGATACTATGCATTATCAATTTGAAAAATATCATAATGCTTCCATTTATGACATATCTTGTCATTTTTAATGTGTACATAATCGCGACCAAGTTTTTAAATGATCCTTAGATAATTTAACGAAAGATTAAACTGTTCATTCAATTGTTTGGACACTGCATTTGAACACGAGATTATTAAACTTATCTTCTTTGCAAATATGAAGGAAGTTTCCGATCGCTTAACTCAAACCCGAATAATTAATAACAATCCTTATACTAATAGTAGTAACTAATTCCATGATAAACATTTTACAGTATTAATATTACTTTAATTATCTGTCGTACAGCATATTTATTCCTTGAATTTAAGTAGTTGTTGTATTTTTAGATACTAATTTGCGTTTGAATTTTGAAATTCTTAAGATCATAGGAGTTTTAATATCTCCGCGACTACACACTTTTATTTATTAGTTCTAATCTGCAGCCAATGGTATATTTAAATCGCACCCAAGATGTAAAGAAATTTAATTGCGTGACAAATATCTGAAATAATGTTAGTTTTATATGCTATATACATTTTGAATTTCAGTATCACAATATAAAAACATGTATTGAATACAAATTTGCATATCTATGATGCAAACTTCGAGATAATTATTACGTACGATTATAGGCCATAACCGAAATAGGATTTCTAATAACAAAACTAAACGAGAAAAAATCTTTATATACGCTATAGTTAAATCAATGTACAGAAGTATTTTCATAGCTTAATTCAAAATAATCCTGCCTTTGAGAAAATCTAATATGTGAATAAAAATTTAATAAACAGACGGGCTGTGGCTGAAACATTAGTTGAGAGCTATTTTTATAGCTTTTTGACTTATGAAGAAACTAGGAGGGATAAAATAATCTATTTTGACTATATTTTGAGTATTGCCACGTATGCAGAAAAGTAACATTAAATGGGATAAACCAATAAGCTAATTAATGTCATTTTAATATTTTAGTGTCAAACACGTTATCTTTTAAATACCAATTATTTAAGTATTGTATTCCATGTAAGGTTCGAAGTTGTGTATGGAATGCGAAGTGGAGTGACTAGTAGTCAATAATTAAAAATGCCAAATTTATTTCCAACAAAATGTGTCCATCCAAAGTAAATACTGAATACATATGTTCTTCAATATGCTTTTATAGCTTGTGTGATTCAATGTGAGGTAAACCGTCGTTTTTTTATTACATACATGTGAATTAAGTTTACATTACATACGTACGAATTAGATGTTATAGGAAATTGTGTGCAATAAATGTTAGTGAAATTGTGCTATCTTTAAAGTAGTAAATGTATTTTATCATATGTGAGATCTGCTACGGGTTTTTGTTGCGTCAATGCCATAAGATATTTGCTATATACGCAAACGATAATGTTAAATATCAATGGAATTACCCTATTTCACGATTAAGATTTCAAGTTCCACGCAATTTTTCTCGTACGTGTTACTTCATTTGCAGAAGCGAACTATTTTTCATAGATCTTATGCAATGTGAATACATGTACAAATCTATATATTTAGATATTCTCAGAATTATTTTGTGTCTAATATAGTTGCTATGATAATATTGAAAGTCGTATTTAGATATAAGGATTTCGTCCTAGATACTCTAAACTAAACAAATAATACACTTGAAACTGAATTAAAACAATCCATAATTAGCAACATGACACATGCAGATGTTATAAACTGAATATTACGCTGACGTGAAAGTTATATTTCATTGTATGTACTATACATATCTGTAATAAAGATAACCCATAATCAATTTTGTTGTTCACTATTTTATTTGATATGATTTTATAATTTTGTTACATTTTTATATACATAATGACAAGATACATGCTACCTTATATCTTTTGTGAAAATTAAATACTGATTTATGATGTGTGTGTGTGTGTGTGTGTAATTAAATAAGTTAAGATATTGAGAAATTTTTTGGAATAATTTGATTAACTGATATACCTATGTAATATAATATGATGGACATAGTTAATAATATTTAAATTAGTAAAGTATGTTGTACTAATTATAACATGAGAATTTAGATTGAATTTATGCATATCATAAAAACTTAACATTATTTACAAATCATAAACATTTATTGCGTAAGAAAGAAAAAACTCGCCTTCGTGACGCCTCCACGTTTCTCAGTTGTATACTATACTGTTAATACTTAAACTTCGTCTTCATTTAAGAGCATATTTGGTATACCATCATTAATAGGAAATTTCCTACCAGACTCTGGACATAGTAAATCTCCATTAATGACTTCTACCTCGAGTAATACATGATGAACTTTCTTTAGAAATTCTTCATTTGTTTCAAAGTCTTGAATCAATGTTTGTGGCAATTCTCCGACATGCCCTATCTGCATTAATAAGACACAACTGATATAACAATTACACCATATATATTTTTAATCTCTCGGACTAAAACTTACACTTTCTGCAGCTTTCCAAAGAGTAGCCCAATCAAGTTTTGGAATAATCCTTGCAATAAATTCTGAATTGAAGTCTACTTCTGATACTTTAATATCCTTCGCCTGTAAGTTTAAAAGATTTTTATTAATACAACTTGAATTTCCATTTGGTTACCATTAAAATTAGCCTTCAAATTGTATAAACATAAAGCTTACAACAATTTCGAGAGGATATCCAACAGTTACGCCTTTCAGACATTTTGAAGTTAACATATTATGAGTTAAAAGTTTCATTTTCTTTTTTTATCAATAGTGTTCGATTGCTCTGTTAATTAAAACAATTTGAAAACAATTATAATTTTGATCGTCAACGTTTTCTGTATCATAAGATCATTGCACGTTACTTTTGATGCCGGTTCTTGTTCTTACCAACCTATGCCGACTTTACCGACTTGAAGCTTGCTCTTATTAACAATAGATTCTTCAGTCGACCAAACACAATCGACTACGTAGTCGATGTGGTGAATGCGTTACCGTGCGTCCCTCGATTGTGATTGTACATTTTATGATAAAATGAATAATCTCGATGTCGTCTTAGCATTGAAATTGTAACACGAAAATATAAAATTATTCTGTTACTGTTTATCAAGGAGGATACAGGTATGTATTGTATTCAATTGAAACTTTACATACTTCGATGTAAGTTCTTTAACAGTCACGTGACTTCAATCATTCAATTGCACTACTCCTCAGAAGATTTATGGGAAAAATATTATTATCTTAATTGCGAATTACTTGTGTATCATATATTGTCGGATCCTGACAGGTGTTAGTTTTTAAAATTATTATACTGAATTCACATCTTTAAAGAATTTCGTTTAATATAAAGGCGACGTAAGTGATGGCAAACTGTGGCAAACATATGGTGTGTAACCTAAATGTATATATCAGTACAATTCGAGCCCGAGGTGGAAAATTGTTTCAAGTATTTGAATAGTAAAGTGACAGTGAGGGTGATAGTAGCCACATCATTTGGCCTTCACGAAAATCGTGATCATCTGTTATTATCGCACATTTATCTTTTTTCGTATCATATATGTACATATTTTTATTTAGAAGTACATATTGCTACTAGTATTTACCATTGTTTGCAAGTCATATTTTGACACATCATCAGTCCAGAAGTAATCAAAAATTTCTATAACTTATAAGAAGCCTTTTTTTAACCACCTCAAAAACTATTTGTTAAATATATACCGATAATTAAATATATATATATTTCTATTTTACCAGGTTTGTAATAAATTTATGGTGCTGATGTAGCAGGCATAAAAAAATGCTATGGAAGACAAAAAGATAAATGTATTAGCAAGAAACGTGTAAGATTTGTGCACATAACATTTGTATTATAATACTTTATTTCATTATCAAGAGATAATATTTTGATAAAATAATAGATATTTTGATAAAATAAACTGAAAAATACGTGAAGGACAATGTGTGCTATTACAAGTGCAAGGTCTTGACATTGAAAGGAATATGCATAGCAAAATACGAAAGAAAATGTCTTATGATTTACTTATTTGGAGATTGATAATGCTTGGATGCAGCATACAAGCATTACTAGCTGTATCTGAAGATGAATCCTTAGAATATATGAGCAGAGAAGAACGGGAAGCATTAAAGTTAGTATTGACATATGTTTGCTTTTCTCACGTTGGCAAATTTGTATTTATATATGTCTACTTTTGGTTCCACATGTTTATTTCATTTACAGAGAAGAAGCCAAGGATATGTTTTGTCATGCGTATAATGCATACATGGTAAATTTTATGCAAATATTTTAAATAAATAAATATCTTCCTCTAAACAAACTTTTTGACTCTAATAAAACATATGTTTTAGGATAATGCATATCCTGCTGATGAATTAATGCCATTAAGTTGTAAAGGAAGATATAGAGGTTCGGAACCAAATAGAGGTGACATAGATTCTACACTGGGAAAGTAAGATTAGAGATGTATTACATGTTTAATACAAATATACAATGAATGCACCTAATTATATCAAATTTAAATTATTGTTTTTAGTTTTTCACTTACATTGGTTGATACATTAGATACACTCGTGGTAAGTACTATTAGGTTATGTGTATGAAATAATACCTAAGAAAAAGAGACTTGGGTAAGTTCCTCTGTATTTAACATCCATCAGGTGTTAGGTGATTTAGAGGAATTCGAACGTGCAGTCAAACTTGTCGTCAGAGATGTCAGCTTTGACACAGATGTTATTGTTTCTCTATTTGAAACTAATATTAGAATGCTTGGGTGAGATATTGATATGTTGATTATTGTAATTTTTCGAGCTCGTTCATTGTTCGGTAGTTTTCAGATTATTTTATTTTCCAGGGGCCTTTTAAGCGGTCACATATTAGCAGAATATTTACAACAAAGGGCCAATATAATGCCATGGTATAGAGGTGAACTTTTGAATTTAGCCAAAGATTTAGGATACAGATTTTTACCTGCATTTAATACAACTACAGGAATACCGTATGGCAGAGTAATTAAATTTTAATTAATAATATAATAATGAAATGCATGTGAAGGCTATTTTTAAAGGAGTAATTGATATAATTTCTTTAGATAAATTTGAAATATGGTATGAAAAATGTGCCGATCGAAGTATCCCGAGAAACGTGTACTGCCTGTGCAGGCAGTATGATTTTAGAAATGGCAGCATTGTCAAGATTAACAGGAGAACCAATTTTTGAGGTACATTATATTTTATAGCGTTTTATACGGAAGGGAATAAAATAAATTTCACAATGCTAACAAAAATATAACGTATGACACAGGAGAAAGCACAAAAAGCAATGGATGTTTTATGGAGAATGCGGCACCGTGGCACAGATTTAATGGGTTCTGTGTTAAATGTACATTCCGGCGATTGGGTAAGAAGAGATTCTGGTGTTGGTGCGGGTATAGACTCTTACTACGAGTATTGTCTAAAAGCGTATGTCTTATTAGGTAATTAAACTTAAGTTTATATTCTTTAAAATCTATACAGAAATTTGATACATACACTGTTCGTTATCACGTAGGCGATGAAAAATATCTTGGACGATTTAATAAACATTATGAAGCAGTAATGAAATATGTAAGCCAAGGACCAATGTTGTTGGATGTACATATGCACAGACCAAATATGAACTCCAAAAATTTTATGGATGCTTTGTTAGCTTTTTGGCCTGGCCTGCAGGTAAGATTATATGTTTGCTTAATCATTGTATGTAACATTACACTTTTTCTAGGTTTTCTTATGTTCGTTTACTTTTTACTTTCATGTTATTAGGTACTGAAAGGTGACATTAAACCTGCTGTGGAAACGCATGAAATGCTATATCAAGTCATGCAGAGGCACAATTTCATACCAGAAGCATTTACTACTGATTTTCAGGTTTGTATTTATTATGTAAGGAATCTTTAGTCTAAATTTTGTACAAGGACTGTCCACTAGTGTTTCGTAGCACATCCAGTATATGTAGCAGAAGTGATCGTTAATTCACATAAATTTATAGGTACATTGGGGACATCACCCGTTAAGGCCAGAATTCTTAGAATCCACATACTTCCTTTATCGTGCTACTGGTGATCATTATTATCTAGGAGTTGGGCGTAAGGTACTCAAAAGTCTGCAAACTTATGCCAGAGTACCGTGCGGTTATGCTGCTGTATCAGATGTTAGAACCAATAAGCATGATGACGCAATGGATAGTTTTGTGCTGTCGGAAACTTTCAAATATTTATTTCTGTTATTCGCGGAACCAGGTGAACTGCTTTTAGATTTGGATGAATTTATTTTCACAACTGAAGGACATCTATTGCCGTTAACGCTCGCTTCTATAAGAACCAACATCTCTTCAGTAAGTACAATATATAATTAAACGAATTTTCCTTCTATGTTATTTATATGTGTGTTTATGATTTATAAAATAAAGCAGGACTTCGAGCGGGACATCGTACATGTAGATGAAATGGATCGCATTTGCCCCAACAGTCTTCATTTATTTCCTGCATCAGTGAGACAACCTTTGAGAAATATGGTCGAAGACATGTACCCGAGACGTACAATAAAGAGAAGATTGAACCCTGCACTGTTTCAGGTATGAAGTTTCGAAGGACATTTTTGTGGGTAATCACTAGATTAAATAAACGCTGAAAACTATTATTTTCTACTATAGACAAGTAATTTGGAACATTTAAAATTGTTGAGTGATATGGGAATAACGACTTCAACTTTGCCAGATGGACGTCTTCAACTCTTACATACATTTTCTAATGTAAAACAAAATTTTCTCGTATACGTTAATAGATCTGAGTATTTTATTCGTTGTAATTGCATTTATATCGATAATAAAACTATTTGTATATAATAATATTTATTAGGCAAAAACACCGCAGGATTTAGAAGAAGGATTATTGTTCATGCAAGAAATGGTAGAGCTGAGCAAGATCGAATCACAAGCTAACGCTAAAACACAACCCGTCTCGTTTCTGAAACCGAACACGAATCCACATCAGATAGTCATACTACAGGCCGGGCCAGCTCATTTTGGTTTACAACTACAAGGATTAAGTGAAGTAACAGGAAAAGTTGCTTTTCCCTTTCCACCTTTTGCGTGTACTGATCTTCATAACGCGGATACACTTGCTGGCAAGATAGCGTTAATGAGTCGCGGTAGTTGTACGTTCATAGAAAAGGTAATTCTTAATTGTATGGTTCATCGATACTTATGAAAAAAAAAGAATTTGCTAATTTTCCTGATGTGATTATAGGCGAGACGAGTTCAGCAAGCGGGCGCTATAGCCGGGATAGTTTTGGATAATGTCGATGGTTCTAGTGCCGCAACGTCACCTGCATTCGCTATGTTAGGAGATGGCAAAGAAATAGATGATGTAATTATTCCAGTAGTATTTTTATTTAGCGTGGAGGCTTCTGAATTACTAAAAGCGATTACTGCATCTAATGGAGATCTTGTTGTTACTATTGGTATGCGTTCAATCATACATTTCATATAAGATTTAAAATGCTGCAATTTTTACACCCATTATTGATTTTCAGGAAACTTTGTTCAGAAGAAAAAGAGTAATTGAAAGCGCCTGCAGATTTATCAATGTTCGATTTCAAAGGGTCGTTAAAATCCTTTTCTACGCCACAAATGACACCACAGGTCTGTATTCCTTGGTGTTTTGCAGTAATTATCGTTGAATATATTCCTCCATGGATTTTAATTCATAGAAAACGATATTAATTTATTAATATGTTTCCATAATCTTATGGGAGAATTCTTCTGTTCTTTCAATGAAAACATTGTCACTCGTATATTTAAAGAAACTTAATATGATTTAAATACTGTCAGTAACATATACTCTATTATTTGGAAATCTATATGCTTATTTATACTTATTTACACTTATGGTGTGGACGAGATAGTATTTTTCTTTCAAGTTTGACATTATGTAATATAAACCAGTACTTGAGTTTTTGCATATTCTAAGAAATTAAATGGTTTTTACATTTACTATTATTTATTATATCTTTACTGTATTCTTATTTCCTTTTTTATTCTATTATACAATAATTTAAGAACTTACGTCCATATCAAAGTGAAATGAAGATATTTTTTTAAGACAGACATCAAGCAGCGGGGCAAATTTGGATCGGGTTCCTGAGATTAGATTCAGAAGGTGAAAAGGACATTTATAATCTGCGAGGTGAAATTACTAACGATCTACTTGACAGGGAAGTGAAAATTATTTTGCCGCATATGCCAATTTCATTCTTGTGATAGGAATAGAGGACTATAGCCCGATCGAGAAACAGTGGGAACAGTTGAAACAAATTTTTGTCAATCAGATATACTCGGATGAGAAAAAAAACAGCAGGCTTGTAAATCAGACATTTTATATTAAAAAGTTATTATAATTTGGTAGTACAGTCACGGGATTGCGGATATCGATGTATAAAAAATATCGTTCGCAGACAAAATCGTACGGTTCTTGAAATAATTAGTAGGAGTCGTGCCGAATCCGTCCATTATAAAAATGGACCAATTAATGGATTCTAATAAGAAAAAATTGCTGGAACAATATTTGTTAACAAAAATAGATATCATGGCGTAGAACATGAAAATGCTTACGCCTGTTACTCCGTATATTTGGATATCCGAATATCGCCCAATTGATTAATACTTACCAACTGAACATGAATTATGAATTTTTGCAATAATTTTTACTGTGTATTTACGACACGTTGGACGAAATAATTATACAGCATTTTGCGTTATAAAATATCAAGGAGAAAAAATATCACATCATATTGGCCTAGGAGGGTCAAATAAAATTTGAAAGATAACCGATAGATAAAAATTTGTATTACGATATGGTGATTGGTAACTGGAAGAAATATCTGCAAGATTTTGGAAAACTTTTGACAGTCAAGCAGAGAACAATAAAGCAGAAATTATATCTTCCCGTCTCAAAATTGTTTAAGGACGATGAAGGAAATATTAAAATCGGAAAGTTTGAAGAAGATTCTGTTCGAAAGTATTAAAGCATATTGCAGCAAAAGACACGGCGGATAATACGAGCAAAGAAATTGCTGATTTTAATAAATTGGTTTTAAATGTTTCTTCGCAAAATCAACGTAAAACTGACAAATTAAAAGAGCGAATTAAATATAAAATTTAAGATTTTACAAAAGCTATAGATTCTTTGGCAGATTTTGTCACGATTACAAGAAACTATGAAAATGTATAGTCAAGTAATGTCAAATTTAAAGAAAGAAAAGCAAACATGAAGAAGTTTTAAAATGTTGGAAAAGGTATAAGGAGAGAAAGAAGCATTCAAATCACAATATAATCATGATAGTAACATAAGTATTGAGCAGTCGATTAATTAAAATACAAATTATAATTAAATTCCAACTCCAAACTGTCTGAGAAGTTTAATTCTATAAACGTTCAAAAAGAATTGCAAGCTTCCTATTTCGTAGATTAAAATGAATTAGAAGATGGCCAAAATAATGAGATTGAAATTAAACAAATCGATGTACAGAAACGCGGGAATAAACATATCGACGATTAACTGTAAAAATAAAGCTTTCATATTCTCAGATTGAGTATAGTTATTAAAGAAAGAAGAAAATAACAGAAATTGAATAAATTTGTAAATACAAGATAGCTGGCAATTCTATTCATATTGCATTTCATATTTTTGCATTAAACTTGAACACGTATCCAGCCAGTCATGTTTTTATATTATGAAATTTGTTTTAGGCAAAGATATAAACGGCCAGATAATGGCAAAACAATGCTTAAAAGTCTGTTAAACCAGTGCTTATTAAAGAATTCGATTCTCTTTATTATACGAAATAAATTACTAAAATGACAAGAATAAAAAGAGGAAGAAGTAAATACATAATACAACCTGCACAAAACACTTATCCTAATAAGGTTGTGACAGAATATTCTGTGAAGGCTCTAGTGAATGTAAATTTTCTATACATACATCGCTCGAAAATAGCACATTTCTTGTGCACATTACAGTAAAATATCTGCTTTCAATTTATATGAGAAATTATGGACTCATTATTTTCATTTGTATGTGTTTTCATGCTAGTGTGCCATGAACAGAAAGAATATACTTCAGTAAACAATGAGTATTGCACTGTTGACTGTGCATTTACAGTTTGAATTGTAAACATAATTATGATTAGTAACTACTAAAAACAATGATTCAAATTATAAGTAATGATCTTTTAACTTTCTTATATCATTTATTAGAGTTCATATAATCTATGCCTTACATGTACATAAAATTGTACAAACAACAATGTATATATAGTAAAGTTACCGACAATAGAAGTGGCAATAGAAGAAATGTTAATGACTTACAGCATAATTTTTTTTAAATCAATCATTTGTACTTTTCTTTTTTATATATGTAACACAAACATAAACTATAAAGTAAAATTCTTAATTTTGATGTGTACAGAATTTTTATTTATAATGTGCCATATAAAATGCATAAGAAATAAACATGTTTTAAACGAAATGTATTTAGGATATACATAAATTAATTTGTGATATAGCTATGCATATCCTAAATATATACATATACATATTCCATATTCGGATTAATCCTTTAGCATGTACGACTTCTCATTGTAAATGTAAATATTATATATATGTAATAAGTCCGTGTTCTACGATTACATTATAAGTTTGTATAATGAATGCCAAAATGGACATCACAAAGTTTATTGTACATTAAACTAGTTACTATTTTGCATAGATTATGCGATTATGTATTATGTGCATATATACATACGTAGTACATAATATGTATTACATACTGAACTACTATATGTACCAAGGTATATACAGATTTGTGTATGTGTATATACATGTAATAATAATCATCATATACATATGTGTATATATATATATATATGATCCATTTGTTGTTTATTATATGGGATGAGAAAGACAGGCATATAATATAATGTATGTATATGATATATGATACAAATGTTTTGGTACAGATGAAATATAGAACGTGATATTAAAGAATGTGAATAAAATTAAGTGCTGCAATGAAGAACTTTTATTTAAGCAACTTAACATACATTATTTTTTATAAGAATCAAAAGATTTATTTATAATTCATATCTCTTTTAAAGATTCTTATCGCGCTTCGATATAATAATTTCATTACGCTATGCTTGATTACTTTCGAAATCAAAAATTTGGTAAGTAGAAA